AAACACCTCGCATACTTATAAGTGACCTCTAAACGTAGTAAATCCTAATAATCTATATGTTTACAATCAGATTGTGTTTAAACAAAGATATGAAACGCAAACAATACTATAGATTCGATGTTATCTTGTTTTCCTCTGATTCCTTTTTCAATAATTTTACAAATTATCAATACAAATACATAAGACAAATAAAAGGAAACGAAAACAATCAATATCTACTCGATTTCACTCATATTCTGATCAAAGACAACGATCTCAGTGATTATAAAGTTACTACGTGCAATAAAATGTTCTATACGATGTTTTTAAGTTCGAATACTTCTCCAAAGTACAAAAAAAACAATGAATTATCCAAAACTAAGCAATAATTGAAGAATGCTTGTTTGCTAGTAGCTCTTTATCCATCAAATTTATATCAGGTGTACGTGGATGACAAAGATGTGCGCGACCTGTCCGTCCGCTGGCTACGACAGCAGGTGGGCCTGGTGGGTCAGGAGCCAGTGCTGTTCAATACCACAGTGCGCGAGAACATCCGTTACGGCCGCGCAGACGCTACTGATGATGAAATCGAGGCTGTCGCGAAACAAGCTAATGCACATCACTTCATTATGAAACTGCCCGCGGTAAGTCAATTCCGTTAAATAACAATTACTAAGGGAACATAAAAAGGTTCACGAAGTATTTATCTTCATTTTACATATGTTTGTAAAGAGGTAAACAGTGACGTAAACAATTATATGTACGTTTGTGTAAGTTTACAACTTCACAGGTTTAGTGTATACAAAACATCTATGTTATTTTTATCTTCATTCTACTATTTTAGTAACACTACTATTCTACTTAATTCTCGTACTATTCTGATTATACAGGGTTACAACACATTGGTAGGCGAGCGCGGGGCTTCGCTGTCAGGTGGACAAAAGCAGCGGATCGCAATAGCACGTGCGCTGATCCGCAACCCGCGCATACTGCTACTAGATGAGGCAACCAGCGCACTAGATACAGCTTCAGAGTTCAAAGTACAAGCAGCGCTAGACAGGGTATTTATTTAAACTTTGTTTATCATTGTTATTAAATAAAGTATTGTTTTATCACAATCAGACTTGATAACAGTTACGTGATTATTTGATCGAGTAATGACGCGAAATAATCCAGAATTTTTATATCTTTAAATAAATTACTGTATTAGTACTTTTGTTGATATCCCAAATTATCGATAACATAACAGTTTTTTTACTCTGTCCAGGCGCAAAAAGGACGCACAACGATAGTCGTTGCGCATAGATTGTCAACTATTAGGAATGTAGATTTAATCTACGTATTTAAAAGCGGCAAAATCATCGAACACGGAAATCACGAGGAACTGATGAAACTTAAAGGTCATTATTATGATATGGTAACAATACAATCGTCGCCGGAAGGAGAGGATACTTCGGGTAATTACAAATTAAATAAGTAAAATTAGACAAATAAGAATCTGGCATTAGAATTTGACTTCTTATTTCAGATTCATCAAGGATCGTAGAGAAGGATTTAGCAGACGTGGCTGAGGAAGATGACGATGAAAAAATACCAACTAAATTAGATGTAAGAATTTTAATTCTCACATTTAAAAATATAAAAAAATAAGCATTTTCAACGAAAGTAGTACAATTTTCAATGTATTATAGGTAAAAGAAGATATTGAAAACGAAAACGATATATCATTCAGTAAAGTGATTCGTCTAAATTCACCTGAATGGAAGTCTATTACAGCGGCCAGTGTTTGTTCCATACTAAGTGGTAGTGGCATGCCACTTCTAGCTGTTATTTTGGGAGATTTCTTAGGAGTAAGTATACTTGCTTTATTTATGTTAATATAATTTGTTCAAATGAAAATTGTGAAATTGAGGATTATAGAACTTCAAATCTTTTTTTTTTCTTTCCTTAGGTCCTGTCTAATCCAAACCCAGACGAGGTTGTAGCAGAAGTGCGAAGATTTGCTCTTATTTTCGTTGGATTAGGCGTGTTAACGGGAATTACAAACTTTATCACGGTATTATATTTCAATATGTATCTATCTAAAATCACAAAGACATCCTGACTACACTTCTACACACGGAACGTAATTGTTCCGTTTTTACGGGATAACTTTATAATTTGTTCAAAACAATCCTAAATCTTAAATTACAACAAAGAACTAAAATAACCAGTCTTTTCTATTCAGGTATTCATGTACGGAATAGCCGGGGAACATCTGACAGCTCGATTAAGGTTACTAATGTTCGATAAACTCCTCCAACAAGAGATTGCTTTCTTTGACGACACCAACAATTCCACTGGAGCTCTTTGTGCACGCCTCGCTGGAGAAGCAGCGACTGTTCAAGGGGTAACCAGTTATATCTATTGTTATTCTACTTGAAGCTATTTTTAACAAAATTAACATCTAATAAAATAATTTCAGGCTACCGGTCAAAGAATTGGAACTGTACTTCAAGCAGCCGGAACGTTCACTTTTGCTTTAGCCCTTTCGTTGATATATGAATGGAGAGTAGGTTTAGTTGCAATGGCGTTCGTTCCAGTTATATTTGCTATTCTATACAAAGAAGGTCGAATGGTTAGCGCCGAGTCTTTTGGTACGGCACAAACAATGCAGAGTAGTTCAAAGGTAACAGTCACATTCAATAGATTCTATAATCACTTCAGTATCATTAATTTCATAGTGAAACAACTGGTTTATTATTTGTAGTTGGCAGTAGAAGCGGTGGCTAACGTTCGTACAGTCGCATCTCTCGGTAGAGAAGAAACTTTTGTGCATGAATACGCTCTCCAGTTAATGCCGGCGTTGGTCAGCGCAAAGCGAACGACTCACTGGCGAGGGATCGTGTTCGGACTCTCCAGGGGTCTTTTTAACTTCGTATATTCCGCTGCAATGTACTACGGAGGAACGCTCATGGTTTATAGCAATGTCAATTACGCTGTTGTTCTGAAGTAAGTTGTAATTCCTAGATTTAGTAGGTAATCTACAAATTTTCTATTATTTTTACAATCTATCAACCCGCCCCGGCTTCGCCCGCGTGTTAAAGGATATATACGTGTACAAATACATTATCTATTCGAAGTAAAAAACCTACTTGACGTAAAAAAACCGTATTTTAATGCGTTTTTGCCCTTAGCAGCACAGATGCCAAACAGAGGTTAAGAAAAAGGCCTTTACACGTCTGTAATATCTTGCCCGTGTTTATCTTTTAGATCCGCTCAAGCGCTACTAATGGGAGCATCTTCAGCAGCCCAAGCATTCGCCTTTGCTCCCAATTTCCAAAAAGGAATAAAAGCGGCTGGACGTATCACTGTTCTTCTCAACAAAAAATCTGCTATTACAGATCCGGATAGGCCTGCCGTCGAAAACTTTGTGAGTTTCACAATATTTATTTCATTTAATTTTAATATTTAATTAAGCCTTATTTTTGATCAGAATTCGATTTACCTATGCATGCCTTTTGCTTCATGGTTAAGAATGACTTAAAGATTTGATGTCAACCCTTTTCAGAAAGGCACAGGTCAAGCCAGCCTACAAGACGTCGACTTTAAATATCCGACTCGCCCTTTGATACAAGTTCTGAAGAAGTTCAACTTAGAAATAGAAAGTGGTAAAACGTACGCTTTGGTGGGAGCCAGCGGATGTGGGAAGAGCACTGTGATACAACTTCTGCAGAGATACTACGATCCTGATGGCGGTATAGTGGTATGTTTTAAAACTTACCAAAAACAGTGACCAAAGTATTCAAAAACTCGTAAAAATTTGCTGATAAACTCTTATTAAAACACTTTTGATAAATGGTTACTAAGGAAATCTCTTAGTGTGCATTTACTACTAAAAATCTAAGGTATGGGGCTGTTTAACTAGTCTATAAAGAAGATTTGGGTGATAGAGTTCCATCAGGTAAAAACCAAAACGTGATGGTCATAAAAATTATACATGTAATAATTTGTACTTATGTGATAATTTTCAGGCATATGATGGCATACCGTTACCTAAATTGCGACTAAAAGAGGCTCGACAACCAATTGGTTTTGTACAACAGGAGCCTATACTGTTCGACAGAACTATTGGAGAAAATATCGCGTACGGTGATAACTCGCGGAAAACAAACATGGATGAAATTATTTCAGCAGCTAAGCAGGCTAACATTCACAATTTCATTGTATCATTACCAATGGTAAGGAAAACTATAACTTCTTAACTATGCATTTCACCGAAATAAACACGTATTACAAAAGGTCTATTTAAATGTGGGTAGTTTAAATTAAATCAGTGACTTTAGAGGACTCTGTGGACTCGTTATTATTGACTGATGAGGTTGAAATAAATCTTGAATTTGCTTCAAGAAACAAATTTATTTTTGACAATTATTTCAGGGTTATGATACAAATATTGGTTCGAAAGGCACACAGCTGTCAGGTGGTCAAAAACAGCGCGTAGCTATTGCGCGAGCCCTGATACGAAGACCCAAGATATTGTTACTTGATGAGGCAACCAGCGCTCTGGATACTGAGAGTGAAAAGGTGCGGTACCTAGCTTTTACGCGAATGTCCATCAACAATAGTGTCGCCATCTTTCATGTCACAAAATCATAGTCACTGACTGAGCTATCTATCATTAGGTGGTGCAAGAGGCTCTAGACGCAGCGAAGGCGGGTCGCACGTGCGTGATGATAGCTCACCGGCTGAGCACGGTGCGCGACGCGGACCGCATCTGCGTGCTGCGCGACGGCGTCGTCGCTGAGAGCGGCACGCACAAGCAGCTCATGCTCGCTCAGGGACTCTACTACAACCTCAACAGACGGGGATATGCGTAGTTCAATACGTATCCGCCTAAATTAAGTTATTGTAAATTTATTGTCAATGTTAGTTTTAATTAAATATTTTTTTTACAAAAAAACCTTGTTACTATATATAACAGAACAGCTCGCATCAATTTTAGAAGATATATTATTTTTACAACTTAAATTCATGCTTTGTTCTCGGGATAAAGAGCTATAGGTAATTATTTTGAATGATTGAAATAAAAAAGGTATTTGTTTTTTATTGTCACAGTGCACTTAAAATTAACAACTTATCTTACAAAAGGTATGCATAACCCAAAAAAAAAATCCAAACCCAAAATTCTTATACCCTATCCATAACTATACAAATTTCTTTTCATGTTTTAGAAGCCATTCTTTCCTATCAATGCCACAGCTGAAGCCACCTTTAGATGCATTCGCAACTAATCTGTGGCACGGTATCAACAGGATGTGACTATTGGCACCACAAGCTGCTCCCACTGCTCTTGCATGACTTGTAGGCCTGCCTAGTAACTTAGCCAGATCTCCATAAGTATATGTTGATCCGTAAGGCACCTCCAACAATTTGTTCCACACATCCTATACAAACATTTAAGTTGAAAATAAAATTGTATAATCAGGTAAGTTTAATTCTGTCCTGATACTAAAGCAAATGTATAATATGCATTTTTTTTAACTATAAACCAAATGTGATGAACTAATAAATGAAATAATAGATAAGTTGAAGTTGGTAACAAACCTTTTGAAAATCAGTACCATGAGTTTTTAAAGGAACAGTAAATTTTTTAATGTTGCCTTTAAAGTATTCGGTAAGTTCAGTATCTAATTTCATAAGAATATCATTTTTGTCTTCTACAAATGTGCAGTTCATTTCTTGATTAAGGGTTTGTAATTGTTTGTCTAAATCTTTTGAATCTTCAAATAAAACAAAGTACAAAAAGTTTGTATCGGCAGCAGATATTAATTTACCTAAAGGAGAATCAAAATAACTTAAGCACACTGTATTTCCTCTGTGTTTAGGATATTTTTCCAGTATTTTAGATAACATTTTTTAAACAATATAGAATACTTTAAACAAATGTTATAATGCCAACTAAGATATTTACGTAACTAACATTAAATTATAAAAATTAAAATATATTAGATATTTATAAAATCTCAAACGTACAAAGAAATCAATTCAAATTTCAAACTCACGTCAAAACAAAAACAAACTGACACTGACATAATTTGAAGGCAAGGGCTCTAAAGTCATAAGTCCAGAAATTTAATTTATAAAATTTTCCGCGATAGTTTAAATATAATTAAACGAAACAAAACAAGCTATTTTCATAAGTAAGAAGAATATTATAAAATAAAACAAACTATTATCTTCAGGTGTTTATTTTACAAAACCGCACCAAATTATGAGGTAGGAAGATTCTATAACTTTGACATTGATCCGACAGCTCAAATAATACAAAACATGCCACCCATTTATGTGACCAGATTTAAAAAAACGCGGAACAAATTCCCAAGATCACTATGCAAAAGCCATAATGATAACAAGTATTATTTACAATTTCTTTACTTGACCTTTACTATAGCCTTTCCCAAATTCTCTCCTCTCAGCATACCTACTAAAGCGTCGACCATATTGTCAAAGCCGTGATAAACTTTTTCTTCATACTTTAATTTACCTTCCCGAAGCCAAGATAAATTTGCATTAACACCCTCATTCCAACGATCAGTCCATCTGTTAACAATAAATCCTTCAACTTTCAATTCCTTGAAAACTATCGCAGGTTGTACAATAGTCACTGCAGCATAAAAATAAATGTAGGTTAATGTTGTTACTTGTTATTGAAATAAAAAAAAATATAATATATATTATTCAGCCATACCTTTCGGTAACGCCGGATCATTGTACGACGATACAGAACCACAAACAGCTACTCTACCATATTTATTCATATAATTCATTATTGCAGAACTTATTTCTCCGCCAACCTATAAAAAATACTTATTTATTAGACTTGTTACAATTATAAATCATCAATAATGCTTTGAATTGAATAGTTAAATGAAGCTTAAAGACAAATCCTTTTGTATGCAATGCAAACATTGATCTCGTTATAGGATAAAATAATCAGTCACCAAGTTATAAAATATATTTCACATCTTTGGTTTAATTAAAAAAGCTAACTCTTTGTCTATTTAACTGAAAAATGTAAATCGTTGAGATAAAAATCTTTTCCGCCAAGTAATATAGAAATGTAATAATTTAAATATACGTACATTGTCAAAATAACAATCGACACGGTCTGGTGCGCCTTCCCTGAGAGCTTTTTGTATGTTAACAGTCTTGTAGTTAAATGCGCGATCAAAACCCAGTTCTTTTTCTAAATATTCACATTTCTCATCGGAACCAGCGAATCCAATTACTCGACAACCTAAATAAAAAAACTATTTTAATGATTTATAACAGAGATTCCGAACGGAAGATCCGACGAGAGTGCATGATGGCGGGAAATTAATTTGAGGGTTTACAAACTGAAAGTGAAATGTCAACAGCCCTAAAGCAATTATTTTATTGTCTAAAATACCTACCTTACTTTTATGTGTGTTTTTGTACGAGTTAATGTTATAATCATAGAACACAATCCTATACAACCATAGCCAAAAGCATTTTGATGTGTTTGTATCATACAATAGAATTAACCGAATTCATAAAAAAATTGTTCTGGGTCTGTGAGTCTATATTGTGTATGACTCTTTTTACTCTAATAAATAAGACCCCACAAATTTAAATTGTAAGTCTTTTAAATATTGTATCGAGATTAAATTTAATTCGAGTGAATTAAAAACTCAAACTCCTGTGTGGTAAAAAATTACGGTGAGAATTAACATGTAACATTAACAATAATCAAAAGCATTGTTTTATTTAATGAAAATAACGTGTTGATTATTTATCTTTACAGTATTTATACATACTTTTATATATGTCTGCACAATTTTTTACCTTTGCTCGACAGGACGCTAATGTGTAATCGCGGGAATGGGAGTAATTTAACGTATGGATATAGATTTGTATGTACGTTTAACCGACTAACCGTTGGTTTCTGAGAAAAAAAACACTGTATAAAACATATCAAAAAAGATTCACATTTGACAAAAAAGAGACAAAAAAAAATAATAGGAGTTTTGGTCTCAGAAACCCATGATAAATGTGAGTCGCGTGAGACGTTATTATTCGTGTTCTTCCCCGTGTCTGCATTTACCTACCTAAAATCTTTCCAATTTGTCCAACGTGAGAACCGACCGCGCCGGCCGCACCGGTAATTGCAATAGTTTCGCCGGATTTTGGCTTACAAATTTCTTGCAAACCAAAATAAGCAGTGTTACTGTAATAGACAAACGATTAACAGGCCTTACATACAAAGATAAATAAGTAGACATCATAGATACAAGAGCCTTACAGTCTAGATTTTTAAAACCACCCTTCACTGAAATATGACCGTCTGAAATTAACATGCAAGTGTGAGTTTCGCGTATACGGGTAGGAACTTATTGTATATCTTCATTTGGTGCCCCAAATCGCCTATCGGGATTAGTACTGCAAACAACTCAGGAATAGTAAACCCGATAGGTTATTTGGGGTAAGTCCCACCAAAGAGTTGTCTTACTCTTTTTTTTCAATGATGATACCTCATGAAAATTCTGAAAAATAGTGTATACTCACCCAGGCATTCCAAGTACTCCTAAGGCCAGAGAAACTGGGTAAGGACTCATATCTGGCAAGAGATATGTAGGTAGTAGATCCGCTTTAGCAATGATTATATTTGGGTTGTAAATAGTGTGAGTTCGCCATCCAAAATAGCCGGATACGTATCCGCCAACGGGGTATTTATCATTCCGACTGGCTATTATCCTTAAAATATAGAATTAATTTCAATATTTTTTTTCTTAATATACTACGCTAGTTATTTTATATTAAAGTTATTTTATATTTTCCAAGGAATCTAATGTCGTTTCAGGTTCGAATCACTGACAGCACGTCATCACCTAGAGGTCTACGCGTGTACAACCGGGGGTAAGAGTGAGGGAGTCATTAGTTTTTTTTGGCTAAAAGTTATTTTATACTTCTTGGTCAATCATTTGTGGAACGTAGTTTTTAATTGTCATCTACATATGAACACCAATAAAAAATACTTGAACGATTTGCTAGTAAAATGAACAGCTATTGCTTGCTAGAATATGCTTGTAGTCAAAGTTGGGATTTAGGGACAGATTCTAAACTATAAAATAAGCAAAAAAAAATAATTATCAAATGAAATCTCGAATAGATAAAATAGTTACGATACACAATTCGTACGTCTGATAACGTGTCGCGAATATAAATCTATTATCCACATGTATATAATTATTTTTTTGAGTATATTAAAATTAATAAAATAAATCAATTAATACTTCGCTACTTGTCCTCCAATCATAACCGTCGGTAATTTATATCCTATCATATAAGCTCTCATGTATGGGTCTACGCTAAGATATTCAGCTTCTGTTAATATTTCTGAAAAAAAAATTGTCATCAATACTCTATTTTTTAGGAATGTTCCCTAAATTACTAGGTAGGTAAATGAAAAAAAATACCTCCATCCTTCAATTCGGGAAGTTCCTCTTGAACAATTTCGAAATCACTTTTTTTTGGCTCGCCCTGAAAGTGCTTGGTAAGGACATATTTTCTTGCTTCAGTTTTCCCGACATGTCCTGAATAAAACCGACGAGCAATACTCAAAAAATTTACGTTATTAAACATAATTGATACTTTAACGTGAATATGGTGATTAACTCTAAGACCGTTTACAACTGTGGTCTAGGTTAGATAAGATTAACAAATAAAACAAGCAAACTTATGTTGACCTTGTAATGATGTTACAATACAATCAGAAATATTTATACGAAAATGAATATCTTTATTGGAACTAGCAATGAATTAAATTGGTGTAAACAGTGAACACTTCAACAAAGTTAACATTTTTCTTTTGTTTCTTTTTAAATAAAAAATATATTCAATAACACACAGTAGCCTAGAATACACTTATTTAGATATACCTTAGGTAAAGAATTGAAATAAGTTTTGCGCATGTTGTGCAAAACATTGGAAAAACGGAATTTGCAAGAACCACTGGCAAAAACGAATTTTATACTCTATATTTATTCCAAAATGGCTAGGCTGTGTGCGCTTGTTGTCGAATTGATGGTCAAATAATTTTGAATTAAATATTTTCACTATGACTTCAGCACAGGAGTTATCATGTATCTTTTGCAAAGAGAGCTTTGGAGATAAAGAGTCACTACAAACACATTTTAGGTGCTACTTAAAGTCTTCCGGCGTTTACTAACATGTTCAAATTTGTTTTGTTATAAACAATGAATGTATTATTCTTTTAATAGGAAACATGGGGATCCGAAGTTTAATCAGGCAACAAAAGCTAAATTACGCGTTCAGAGTAACTCTCCGACATCCAGCGATACCTCAAGAGATGACGTTGAAATGGTGTCTTGTGATGTGTGTAATGAAGTATTCCCAACTATTTCAAAGGCGATAACACATAAACACAAGATTCACCCGGACTATGATGCCAAGTATTTTTGCCCCTGGTGTGGGAAACTGTTCACTTTAAAGGTACAAGTCTAAATTTCTTCCAAAGTTATTAAATATTCAACTACAATTAGATGTAAAGAAAAGACAAACAGCAAAGACCTTATAATAATTCTTCAGAGGAAAAAGATACAATGTAGGCTCAATTAAATGTCATCGTTTGTCTATGTTTTGTTTATAATTTGTTACAAACATGATCAAAACAAAAAACATGTCCTCCTGAATATGTCCTCTTGGGACCTTTTTTGATAGTTTTACCCTAGTTATATTCTATATCTGTTTGAATTGGTAGATTTTAGTTGATTTATTGTAACGCCCCTTATAATCAGACATTTCATGCTTTATAAATTGATTGATTCATTTGATTGTAACAATCATTTCTAAATGTGGTTGTTATTTTTCGTCAGAATGATATTAATTGCAGTGATATATAATTTGTACATAAGAGTATAAGAAAAAGAAACTGTAACATGTTGGATTACATGTTATGCTTTTGTAAAAAAAAGAATCCAGACTATAGGGGTATTGGTCTTATGTATAACTTTCTAATCTCATAGTTCGAGACCGTTCTAAACATTTGGCAGATTGCGTACTACTGTTTTGCATAGAAATTATAATTCTGTATAGCATAAACTGCTTAACATCTGTTTTCAAATGTTAAATCTTGTATGAACACCATATAAGTGGATTATAATATTACTATTACTGAATAATGTTGATATTTTGTAAATAACCAGTTTTGTCTGTATTTTAATATTTCAGTTTCTGTACAACAAACATTTGGAATCAAGTCATGAGTCCATGCCAAAAGTAACAAATTGTTTCCATTGTGATTGCTGCGATGTTGATTTCTTTCTACCCTGTGCAATGGTTTACCATAATAAGTTTTACCATAGACAAGAGAAAGATGCCACATCTATTGGTTTTTCAAAGAAAGTCAAATTTTTATGCCAGGTAAAATGAAATCTTACTAATATTATAAATGCTAATGTTTAGATGGATGTTTGTTACTTAGTATACCCAGAATGAAACAGATCTAAATGCAATTTGGTTTAAATGTAGAATGCCACCTGGAAGAATACTGCAAGACTCAAGTTATGCAAAAGATACTTTTCACCCTTTTAATTTTGTGTAGCCAAAGATGAGTTATCTATCTTATATCTTATTAACAAATTGTTTATATGAGTACTATTCAAATGGTGTACTTGTATGTGAACACTGTTTGTATCTCTTTCCTTTTCAAAGAGAATGAAGGGATGGAAATACTGTAACAACAGTAATCTGTACATTACATGCTATATTTATTGAAGAGTTATGAGTTAATATTATCATTTCTATTGACTCGCTCTGCTGTTAAAAATCATGGTTGCATTAAATATTAGGTTCAGTAATCTTACTTCTTACAAATATTATAAATGCAAATGTTTAGATGTATGGATGTTTGTTTGAAAGTATCTCCAGAATGGCTCAACAGATTTTGATAAAATTTGGCACACATGTAGAACATAGTCTGGCGGAAACCATAGGCTACTTATTATTAACTTTTTTATTCCACGCGGATGGAGTCGCGGGCGACTGCTAGTCTTTTAATAAAAGCATACCCATTTTGTAATATATGTTTTAATTTCACAGGAATTGGTACAAATCTATTACTGTCCATTCTGTGGTGAAGAATATGAAAATAAGGTCAATTTAAATGTAGGTATTTTTTAAAATAATCAAATTGTAGCTGAACTGTCTTCAGTTAATCTCAACGATTTAATTTGTATTATTTCAGAAACACATGGAAGACGAACATAGTGATGAAAATCAATGTCCGGAAGACATACTCAGGTGTCCATTGTGCGAGGCTGTATTTTATCACCTAGATGCATATGAGTTACATCTTACATTTCACTCATCGGAAGATTTATACAGTGAAGAAAATGAAATGTAGGTTTTCTCTAATATTCTTTTTTTAAATTTGAATAGATTATGTATTACACATAATTTCTCAATCTCATTGCAGGCTTAAACAAATTGTAGAATTTTCATTGGACACTGTACCTCCTCTGATGGAAAAATTAGAAATTCCGCCAACTCCTGAAGACAATGATGCAATGGGAGTAGTAAGTTTAATATTATATGTAAAATTCTTGTGTCACAATGTTCCTCCGAAATGGCTTGTCCGATTTTTATGAAATTTTATACACATTTTTGAAGTATCCCTGGTCTAGCCTAATGATCAAGGGTATGGATTTTCGATCGCGTGATCTGGGGTTCTAATCTCCTCATTTGACTATTGTCGTAAGCAATGTCCTAGCACAAGTTTAGAGCTTAATTGGAATTAAATAAGAAATATTAGCAAATTAACAAAAATCTGCTAATATTTTTATAACCAAAAAAAACATATTCGAAGATCTGACAATTGTATTTCTATTTTCTAATCCCGCATAATATTAAAAACAAATTGTGTTTCAGGATCAATTCTTACAATTATCAATGTGTAAAGAGTCTGATGAACAGCCAGATCACACGGAAAAAGTTAAATCGAAAAAGCACAAAAAACATAAAAAGTCCAAAAAAACTATAACTTTAGATGAATTTTTAAATATGAACACTGATCTCTTTGGAGAAGGTCTAAATATCCAAGGTATAGAAGAAGTTCCTACTCGCGTAGTCACTAAGCAGCTAAAGCCTAAAAAAGAACCAGTTTTAAAGAATCTGAAAAACAAACCACTGCCTACAAACATAGATAAATTACAAAAACAAGGTATAACTATTAAAATGAAGTCGGGAAACAAAATTGTTCCTAATGAAATAAAACAGCCGATATCTACACCACCAATATCTACGCTTAAGAATTCAAATGTAATAAGTACGTCTAGTGAAGTTCTTTCAAGACTAATGAATCAAAGTAACAATCAAATAAAAATAGTAAAAAAAGCCGCAGCAAGTAACACTAATGTAGATTATGATATTAAAGAAAGTAATAACACAATCACATCAAAGAATGAAGAAATGGATGATGTTGCAGATAATGAGGAATTTTCTGAGGCAACAGAAAATATGTCAGCAAATAACAATACTGAAGCTTCTACTAGTGAAACAGATAAGGATAAAAATGAAGAAGAAAATAAACCCGCGAATGACAATGAAACAATACAAGATAAAGATAAAATAAATAAAAGCCCACTTTCAACAGAAACAGCATCAAATCCTTTAAAAGAAAAGGCTTCAAATGTAACTTCTGACAACAATTATGAAATAAACGACACCAATTGTACTAGCCGAAGTGATGATAATAGTAAAAACCAAGAAACTATTGCAGAAAATCCTTCATCAATCACAAATACCAATGATACCATAAATTTTGAAAAAAAAGAAACGTTAGATGACTTTGAAGAAAGTCTAATTGCTAATAAAATACCACGCACTGAAAATACGACTAAAGAATCTCAAAATAATGGAGAAACTAAAAAAAGTTTGAGTGAAAAGAATGAAACTATTATCGATCAAAAAGAGAAGGCGAATAATACTTTAAATGCTATTAAACATCTTAGCCATCTTATTACAGTCAAACCCGTTCAGTCTAAGCCTAGTCCTAAGGGTGAAGATGGCGAAACTAATAATAAATCTAGTCATGATCAAATTGAGGATTTAAACGATGAAATTAATTATGAAGATGAAGATGATGAAGACAATATACCAATAAGTAAATTAGAAAACAAAAAGGATAAACCAAAAGATTTAAATCCATTAAAGAATTTAAGCAAAAATGTCACAGTAAAATCATTAACGTCGCAAATGACTACATCTAAACTTGACCAGTTTAATCATGATAGCGATGATCTAGATAATACAGATCAATTAAGCAATCTAGATTCTGCTAATAAAAGTATAACCAACAACATTGTAGGAAGAAAAGTAGTTAATTTGGGCAACAGAAGTAGAACAGAAACAATAATAAAAAAATCACAAACCGAGAGTCCAACTCAAGGAACATCAAAGAAATTAAAAGTTAGGAAAACAGTGGAAAACAATTCGCAACCGAATTCTCCTAATGAAAATACAAGATTGAACACTTCAAATGCAGATCTTTTAAAACGTTTGACGAATGTCACGGCAAAACCAATTTCATCGAAGTTGTCTATAAAGCCTACTGCTCAAACAGTGGAACAATCTGCAACTGTTAAAAAAGAACACTTTACTGAACGGGTAAAGAAGCAAGGAAAAATTAACGAAGAAATAGAAATATTTAATATTGAAGACTCTGATAGCGACGATCAAAATAAACTATACGAAAATGAGCCTAAAAATACTAAATTAGCAATTAAATCTGTTGATGAGATAAAAGAAACCAAGATTGCTCCTCCGACCAAATTACAGGCTTTACGAAACCTTAGTAAAAATATTACTGTGAAATCCAACGCCCAAACAATAGTTACTCGTAGTTCTGAGGAAAACATTTCAGATGAAAATAAAACATTTTCTGAAGATGAAGATTTTGAACAAAAAAATGACAGAGACGACCAAAATATGGAAGATTTTATTGATGAAAGTCATAAAATTTTACAATCGACTTTAAAAAATCTGAGTAAAAACTTAACAGTAAAATCAAGAAATTCTCAGAATATACCTAATATAAGAAAGCTTAAATTCAATAACCGTCAACAAAATGAAAGGTTTTCAAATAATGGAAGTGACAGCGAGTCAGAATACGCCATTGGCAAAGTTAAGGTTACAGAAATAACGGATCATAATAGTGAGGAAGAATTTCCATCTGCAGATGAAAGCAAAAACTTTGTGCAGTCTCCCAACTCTAACAATAGTGATGAAGAAGATCATTTTGCTGATGAAGATCAACATTTTTCCGATGATGACAATGATAGTCACCATACCAATATCAAAATTAAGTCCAATGAACATTCAAATCAGTCCGCGACTCCCTTACGTCATGCTGCTGCCACTCAACAAGAATGTGACAATTCTCCTTTAAATAAGTTTAAGAAATTAAACAAAGAAATAACTATAAGATCTGTTAATGAAAATAAGAGAACAAATAGAAATACTGAAAATGAAGAAGCAAATACAAGCAAGGATATCTCAAACAATGCCAATAAAGAAATGTCTTCAAAGCCGTATAAGCAGAATATTTCTAAACAAATAAAATCCGAACATCAAACGTCAACCACAGCAAATGAAAAATCTGGATCGAACCAAGTCAGTACTGTAAATAAGGAGGTCTCAGTAAAAACATACCAGTCACAAACTGTTATTGAAGAAATAACAACAACTGTAACTAAGACAATAAGAACTGTAAATCAAACTGTCAAACAAGAAGTTAACAATACCCAAGTAAACACGAATCCAACATTCAAACCCAATAAAATTGCTAATTTTAATCCCAGTAAAATAATTCAAAAACCAACAACGGTCAGAAATTCATCCCAAAACATAGGAACGAAAGTCGTAAATATTGCTTCAACTAAACCTACTACCAGTGGTATTCGACCAGCAAACCAATTAGCTCCAATACGGCCGGGGCCTAATGTAACAAAAGTTGGCAATTTCAGAGTTCCTGTAGTAAGGAATGTTACACCTAAACCCTCACAGAATACAATAGCATGCAGAACCCTTAAAATTTCACCGCAAGCTATGAACCAATCAATGAAGAGGCCATCACAAGATTCACAGGGACAATTGAGTTGTTTTAAGAAGCCAAAAGAAACTATAATGGAAACACAAAAGTCGGGGAAACAAGGAGAAATGCATATGACAGCAACTCAAAACAAATCAGATTTTACGAGTACAGTCAAAAGTATGAAAGGTAAAACTTTAGTTACATCTACACAAATGAAATCCGAAACGAGCTCAAGTGCACATTTGAGTAAAATAGGCAATATGTCCGGAATTAAAATTGTTAAAACTAGTTCTAAACAATCAACACAAGTGGAAGAGAGAGTTGAAAGTTCCAATGCAAAGAGAACTATGGAAGCATTGCAGAAGTTACAAATGCAAGGTCTTTTAGTTAAAAGGCCGCGTATTGAAGAGAATGATAAAGTGGAGGAAGAAAATGACTTTTCTAATTCGGGAAGTGAAAATGATGATGACACTTGATCATAATGCAAGTCATTTCTTTAACAGCATATTTAAAGCATTGTGACATATTGTTAGTGCAGGTTTTAATACAATGACACAATTTTGTTAAATAATTTGTAAATATATAAAAATGTTTGGATTGATAAAAAAATGTGGATGTGACTTTTCATGTATTTCTAAGCTGTAAATATGAAATCTTTGGATATCATCACAACAAATTGGGACTCCATGTTATGTTATAAGTGCAGAAAGCAAAATAAATATACAATAGTGTTATAGGCTTTATTTCATTTAAAACACAGACATAAAATAAGAATATCTGTTATAATTAAACTATTTACATAGATATATGTATGTTAAAAGACCGTTAATATGAAAATATAAATGGTATTTTATTAGTCCACATAACACTGATATTTCATTCGCCCAAACCGATTAATCACAATAATACTTTGATTACTCTGATTTCGCTTCCACCTTATTTTGTCTCCATTTTTGTTCCTGCAATCATTAAAATTAGCTGAGTTTCTGATAGACATGTACACAAAAAATAAATGATAGTGCATTTGTTAGTTCACAATTATTACACTTTTGTACAGAACAAAATGATTTACCATGGGTTTCTGAGTCCTTAATCTCAGTTTAAACATATTCTTATATCTGTTGTCAAAGGGACAGGGATGATGTTTTATACAGAGAATTTGGTCTCAAAAACCCACGGTTAAAAAAAATTGTAATTAAGGTGCAAAAATAAGATGGTGTTATTAAAATAGTGATTTTTTGACGTTACTACGAAAAGGTTAGGTTTAAAGTTATTAATTTAAGATGTTTATCGCTCGTGGTTGTCTTCAAACGTGGCATGTTTTTACCCCAATTTATAAGAATGTCTAAATAAAATTATGAAAAGTCAAGGAGTTTTCAATTTGAGATGCAATACTATAGGACCCTAAAATACTGTGGCCTAAAAATAACCACTACCAATAAACGTTACACCAAATCAAACAATACTGTCATTTATTAGTTTATTAAATTTACATAAAATTATAAAACCCTTACCCTTTGCTAATAAAGGCGAAAGTAAAAAGCAAATCAAAAATATAAATTATAAGAAAACCTTTTTGCGGCAGAGACGACTGGAACGCGATATAAGTGAACTTCGTAAAATATAATTTTGTAATTTACATTTTGTAAAACAAAAAATTGAAATTAATCACATTACAGCTTCACACAGTATTTAAAATTGCTGTAATATATCACATAGCATGTGTTCTATTTATAAAAGCTTAATTTGTAATTTTTCAAAGTTATAAAACGGTTCAAATATTGCGCAATAATGCATAGAAATCGTTAGCACAAACTGTCACTGGAATAGTATTTTGGTTAGGGACTTTAAACTTTACATTTAAATTTATGCTTGTATGTAAAAAGTTAAAAATATTCCAAAATTTTTGTACCAGAGCGCTGTATTACTAAGATAAAAGAAATTTCCAACAAATTCTACTTATGACGATTGAACGATGTGAACGCCGAAATTGACTTATCGGCCGTTTTTGTTTGTGCAGATTTATTTAAAAATTACTAATTGTCGCCTATTATTATTATCAAATTAATGTTTTTTTCTATTAATAATTGATTTATGTACGTTTTCTCCACATTAACTTTAGATAGGGTCAAATTTCACATTTATTCGTTTCCCGCATTTCCTCAAAAAGTAGTGCAATGTTCTCTCTTCGAGTATATATTTAATGAATAAATCTATGCTGCCTTGCGCTATGATTTAAGTTTTCCCAAAACTTCACCTCAATGTTTTGTGTACTTTGTAGAAACTGTCTAAACATACCAATACGGCGATTTCGTTGGACAGGCGATATGCAATAGCACGCAATTTGTAGCGTAGTTTCAAACCGCTTTTGCCTTTCTTTTTCAATACCTGAAGTATTGTATACATGTTGCAACTGTGCAAGATAAAAAACAGCACTGCCAGATATGAAACCTGCATCATGTCGTAGAAAACAAAAAAAATATATATATAAAAAAATTACAAACAAAAAAGGCTGCAACTGAAAAACAAATTTATTAATTCAATATAGCATAAATTAATAAAAATAATCCAATACATTGAACCTTAGGATATAAATTATAAGTTACTTGTAAGTACATTATAAATCTGTTAATTGTATTACAAAATTATAAAAAAAAACAGTTTCCTATAATTTTCATAATCGTTCTTTACAATGTAGCATCTTTAGAGGCGATTTTAAACTGCAGCGTATCAAATGCGTCGACTGAATAACAAAATAACTAATAAACATAAGGTTTAAAATACAAATTGACTAGTTACATGGAAAATAATGTATCAATTATTTACTTAAGCAATTTTACACAATCGGAAAATATGTGAACTAACAATGTCATTTTGACATCGTCATTTTTAGCCAACACGAGAGCGGCAACTGCACGGGATAAAGTTGCCATTATGATAATATCAAAAAATATTACGTGTGACATTTTGAATGTAGGTTTAATTGCTAACATTCGACGAATCGCTATTTAAGTACTATTAATACAAGACATAATGGAAAAAGCGGAAATTTACCTTGACTTTTGTTGAAAAATCCTAAAGCTGTAATATTTCGTGTGGAATATAAATTTGAAAAGTTAGCAATTATTAAATGCATTCAGGTTATTGGTTGCAAATAATTGGCTTACAAGTTGTTTTTGTATTTAATATTGGAAACTTTTGGCAGAAACAAGGAAAATTTTACTTGGGGTTGCCAACCTTAAAAACTGATAGATTTGCCAATATAAAAAACTGCAATAAAATCTGTGTCACACTATAGTTAACAAAAAGAACATGCAAATTGAAATGTATAAATACTTATTGTAATCAAGTTTGTAAAAATTTAAAATCGTGCATTTTTATATTTAATTGTTTTCTATTAAAAATAAGCATAAAACTAATCGTTTGTAAAAAATCTAACAAATGCTTTGACAACTTTAATTTATAACCTACTTAAGCTATGGTACCCATTTGAAAAATACTATTTGAAAAATTGTGATGTCACTACCTATTGAATAAAATACATTATCTACTTAAATAAATATATAGCAGAATGAATCATTGGCTATATTGAAAACTAAAAAATTAAAAGCAAGAAAAAAAACAATTAACAAGTCCACAAATTAAGCTAAGCAGACAGCTACTTTTGAATACAATAAATTTGGTTTCCACCCCCGATACATCCAAAAACATATTGTCCCCGCTTTTTATCCTTGAATTATTCAGATAGCAAAATATTTTTACGATCGAGTGGAAACCTACGGTTAGATATAATGGTTACAACACATCCACATCATACAATAATTACGACACAACAACTAAGATCTATAATAACATAGTCAAACAAGGAAATCTGACCCGATATATAAAATTGCATAGAAAATTGTATAAAAGAAAAAACATGACATGACTGCTACAGTTGGAAAAGGATCGTACGAGACTTTTTGACATTGCGAAGAGGGCGTTAGTGAGCTATTAAATTTCGTTTGACTTATACACCAAGTCAGTTATCCTTGTCGGTATACATTTGAATTGACTGGCAAATCATACATCTTGAGAAAAATGTGGATATACAAAAAAGTAATAAATTATATTTTAATAAAGTGCATATTAACACGACCGTGAATTTCGAATGCCAGTACTTCTGTACAATATGATTTTTTAAAGTCTCTTAGTAAAAATCATGGTTACATTTGGTCCACATAAAATAGGGTTGCCAAAATATGCAATCCAGAACAAAGAAAATGCGACAAATATAACAAAATGAAATACAAAAAATGCACAATAATTAATTTAATCGAGATAATCGTTTGCCACTTACGAAATGTTTGTACAAAAAACTATTGAGATTCGACATATGAGATATGTTAAAAATATCATAATTTACAAAACATATTATTTCAAATATATACATACTTAATATCTAAGTATTACATAAAAAAAAATAATTTAAAATAATAGTATTGAAAAATTAAGCCTTTATAGATGTCGTTCAAGAAAACTGTGGCAAAATTATTTACAATTCCATTTTACTCACGGCATTGAGATTTTACGGGCAATAATCAATTTGCAATTTGCGTGTAAGTCTACAAAAAAAGTATTAACATATTTAAAAAGAAAAAAGCTGCTAAATTTGCCGTACTCGAAAAAAATTAGCATTAAATTATGGTAACACTGAAAGTTTTGCATAAAATGTAACAAAAAACTACATTTAACAGCGCCAAGAATAAATTACTTAAACCGAGTCTCTGAGAGCAAAATTCCCATTTAAAAACATATTGTTATCTCTGTTTTATCAATGATAATGACAGAAATGACGATATTTTCTACAGAAGGCCTAAGAAACCAACATTAGTACTTGTTGTACTATATTTTATTTTTTTTTGTTTCAGTGTTACCATGTTTGTTCTTAATTTATTTTTCCACGAAGCGAATAACTGCGCTCGATCGGCATTTTTGTAAGGTACGTCACCACAAGGGTGAACACTAAAAAGTCGTACGTGTCTTCTCGCTTAGTGGAAAACGTGTTTAAAAACTACTAGTTTAGATATTTACGTGCGTTTGTTGTGCAGCTGTTACAAGGTTACCTGCTCGTTGAGTTTCTGTGGTATGACTATGAGAGTGGTGGCCGTGTTGCCGATGCCGATTGTCAGGAAGGATATGCTTAACGCTGGCACCTGTTGTTTGTGTGGCACACACATATATACGTCATGAGTCGCATTAAGATAACAACAATTTGTTAGTATACATGTTTCAAAAGAAATGATAAATTAAGCTGCTTATATTTCACTTTTAAGGCGTCAAAATTAGGAATAACCATGGGTTTCTGAGAACGGAATCTCTATTTACAACATATTATTATCTTTGTCTTGTCAAAGATTGGTTTGATGATATGTTTTATACAGACGATCTTAGAAACCCACGGGTATAATATCGTTATATCAATGAGTTTGATCCAATAAGTATGTTACATTATATCTTAAATATTATGCAGCGAAATTCGTCCTCCAGTAGATTAAATTAAATTAGAATCAAATGTTTTCTGAGTAAATGCAATGTAATGAATAAATACATACATTATTAGAATATAAACACAATACATACATAAAAGTGGAAAATAATACATAGAGTAAACAGAAAACAATCGTAAAATTGTTGAAAACTTCAGATATTCTCATGATAAATAAAAAACAATTATTAATTTTTAGACCTTGAATAAATAAGAATACATAAATAAGTTCCAAGTTAAAGGTCATTTGAGTCATTGATACAGATAAAATAAAAATTAATGCAATACAAAAAAAGGTATTACGATAATCTATAAATCGCTGGTTATCAATACAGACATAGATTACTGTCTTTACAGTCAAGATTAGAAGAACATATATTAAAGATTATAAAGAAATACTAATTAACTTTAAAATAGAAAAAATAATATAAATGTAAAAAAAAAATTAAAAGAATCCTTACTTTACTGCTACATTAATTCTAAAATGAACAGAACAAACTTAATTTTAACTAAAAAAAATAAAAATAAAATATTAATTCTTTTAAATTTTTTAACTAAAAAATAAAATATTTTTTTACATACCTGCCATGTAGCTTCAGGATGGTAGCTGATATGGTACAATGTGTATGCAATGTACAGCTGGAATATGTATCCTCCGAAGAGGAAAGGCAGAAGGTAGGAGAGGCCGCGCCACATCCAGGAGTGGAAGCCCTCTATCGTAATGTCCATGTTATGCCTTGCACCGAGCGCTTTCAGCCTGTACAATACTCCACTTTGATATCTGAACTGCATGTATTGGACTACACCTGTGGAAAAAAATTACAATATTGATTATTTTATGGATGGATGGATGGAGTTAGATAGATGGATGTTTGAAAGTATCTCCGGAACAGCTGTAGGGATTTTGTTGAAATCTGGCATAGATGTAGAAGTTAGTCGAGAACACATATGCTACTTATTAAGTATTTTTAAGGCTTAAAATAAGATTATTATGTAATTATTTAAAATTTAGTTGTCTATATTAATGGTGCATTAAATGTATGATTACAAACAAATTCCTTTCTCTTTATATTATCTATATTTAGTTAGTTTATCATTCTTCAAAATGTGGAGTGTAATCAGTTAAAGATCACGTCTGTTGAGAAGCTTTTATCGACATTTAATCAGTGTGATTAACGATATTTCTGAATACTTAGTACACGGTGATTGGTAGTCAAATGAATGTTTTACAATTTTATGTATCACGCGTGTATCGCACGATCACAATTATCAGAATATCATTCTAGTACTTAAAAAAAAAATTAAATTGTATCAGTTTAATAATTTAAAAAGGTTCAATATAGAAAAAATCTTCAATAAAGTTGTAAAGAATATTTTGTCCCAAATTAGTATCGTCAGAATAGATTAACAAAAATTTCTTTATGTTTTTGTTAAGTATTAAGAAATTAAACTAACATTTGCCTGCGACATCGTCCGCGCGTAATGAAAAAAAATCTAGTAATAAAAATCATCCAAGAATATTGTAGCTTCACAATAGTGTAAGAATTTTTTATATTTAAAAATTATTTTGATATCCATACTTACTAATATAAGCAATAAACCACATAAATGTGTGTCTAAACTCATTCCATGGTGTATTCTGCGGCCAGATGAGAAGTATTCCAGCCACCACTGTCGATATGAAGTGATGGAGTCGCCACCAACCTTTAATCCTTGATCCATTCACCTTGAGAATGCTTTCTCTTATCGTCAATGTACAATAATACCATACCAAAAGGAATATTAATATCAATTGAAGTGGCCTGAAAAGAAAAAATATATTTTATCATCACCACTGAAGACTCGGAGACTACCCTAATTAGGGGTAAATAGGCAATAGTCAATTACGCTGGCTCGGTATGAATTGACTTCACACATCATTGAATTTCTTTGCAGATGTGTGCAGGTTATTTCAGACTTTTATTTCTGTTAACCAAATGAGAAAAAAGTGACATGTATATAGAAGAATAAAATATAGACAATATTACCTGAAATTGATATAAAGGTTTGCTACAGCCAACACAAATGCTATTGCACTAAGTATTAACTTAAACTTCTCATATTCGTCTTTATATTTGAATCTGTAAGTAAAAGTAAAAATATTTAATTAATTCATTAATTTATTAAATAAGGAAAGCTAGATAGATAGACTAGCTAACTAGATATAACAACTAACACATGCATTAGTAAAAAGAAAAAAAATAGAGTTCGGTGATTGTTTTTTTTCGTGTCTTCATTTATACTTACTTATCATTTTTATTCAATATGGATACATTGACGTTTCCGAGTATAATCCTTAAATACAGACTGTTCTGTTTAGGCAAAGTGGCTTCTATTTCATGTAGCATAGCTTTCCTTTTCATTATCTCCTTCTCCAGGTTAGCAACACGCTCATCTTTCGTCAAACCTTTTTTTTCTAATCTGGAAATTAAGATTATACTATGGTAATATTTTTCTATTAGTGAATTTTATTGAAGACTAGTTTTTGCCTGCGACTTCATCTGTGCGAAAGTAAAAAATGTACTTTCAGACTGTTCTACTAAATCATCAAATGTTATCGAATTCATTAAGCCACTTTGATTGTTTTGTGAAAAACAATGAATTATGCTTAATCATTACTAGATGAAATGCTATCGAATTTTATCAAAATTATACTTTGCAGTTAATCAATTCTTTTAAACCGAGAAGTGTGAATAGCAACAATTCTAATCAAAATTAATATAATCTATGTTTCTTATCTAATCATGATTTAATGTGTCCAGAACAATATACATGCAAAATAACATTCTTAAAAGAATTACCTTCAACTAATAAAAAAAGTCAATGAGTTAGAAAGATATTGAATAAACATTAATTGTCAAAACATGTTACTTAAACTTATTACTATTAGTAAAAAAGTGACATTGCTTTTGATAAAACACATTTTTTATGCTAATGTTGTTACACTAAATTTGATTTCCTTATTTAAATTGAGTCTATATTTAATTAAGGAAGGAAAAAGTTTCTATTCAATATAGTAACACACAGATTAAAATAAATATAAATCAAAAATAAATTTTCAGTTTGTAATGAACAACCTTTATCTATTAAAAACACTACAAGGCTTTTTAGTAAAAATTGTCTTTATCAAGACTTAACTAAATCTAAATTTATTAAATTCTTACTGACTTTATTTTATAATATTTACTTTAGCATTAACAGTGATAATCTTTAATAACAAATTGTATTGATAACTGTTGTTTATACATGATAAGTGAATGATTGGATAAGTTGTATCTGACCTTTTGAGTGCTCCGTTTATAACGGACATTCTATATCTTTGATGATTGAGTTCCTTAACGCATGCAGCTTGCAGCTCCCCCACTTCCTCCAACTTTGTTGCATAATCCTTGTTTATAGTCTGGAATAAAAGGACTGTGTTACTTATGTTTATTTATATTTGTGAAAAGTGATTAAGAAAATAATTTAATTTTAATTTAAAAAGTGGTAAATTATATTATTTTAAAACTAAAAAATTACTAAACTATTTTGTTTACACTGTAGAAATTTCTTTTATATATAGTTAATAAAGGATTGTTAAGATTTTATTGGAATTTTCGCTGAATATAAAATTATCATAAATTACAAGGGTTTATTGTTTATTTGTCAAACCAAATATTTACACCATGATTTTAATTTGCGTATCAAATATAAAGCCACCTATTCAGATTTATTGTTAATAAATAACATTCTTACACGCAATTAAAATGTATACGATGTAACAATTTCGCTAATACATCAAAGCAGATAGTGATAGGTAAGCAAGAATGAAAACAAAGCATAAAATTATTAGCATTTATCTGTGGTAAAATTAGTTCATATTAAGGGTAAAGAAAGTTTTTTCAAGGGATTAAAGTTCATGTGAGAAACTAAACAATGGCTAATGTGTACCGAGAATCCAGACAGTTTACATACCTCGAGACGTTTGTAGTCTGCAAGCAAATCCTGCCACTCCTTCATACATTCTTCAATATCCATTTTTGTAGGTGCAAATTTAAGATAAATAAAATGAACGAATAGATGTAATATATTCAGTACTTAGAAGTAAACTTTAATTCTAATGCCCATTGCTTGCTCTGCTATAAATTGTCAAGATGTGCGGGTATGTCGTGCGGTGCGGCGTGTCAAATAATGACTTTTAAAAAGAAGTCTGACATTGACACTAGAGTAACTGTTGGAAAATGACAATTTAAAATGTTACCAACTAAATAATTGTTTAAAAGTACCGTTTTGATGGGGTTAGGTAGAAATAAACTTTATGTTTTTGTTTATATTTTTAAAAGAATGTGTGGATGTTTTTAACTTTACAGATTAATTAACGCTGTCTTTATAATTGAAAGTTCATCATATTTCCTTACCTAAATATAAGTACATAAAATTATTGATTTTTAATACATCAAAAACCTTGCAAGTAGCAAATTTTCTACCTTAGTCCTAACTTGTTCTTTCACCCAAGGTTTTTATTTCTAGCGTTATCTTTCAAATAGACATTCCTTATTGTACCAGAGGACTGGTGACATAGCGAAGCTTTTTACGATCGAGTCACTTAGGTAGTATCGTTGTCCATAGGGTATATTGGAAATAATACAAAAGGGTAAATTATATATTTAATTGATTTATTTACAGAAAATATTAGACCAAATCCTATTAAATTTTGGTTGTAACTTTCTATATAAAGTTGACAAAAACAGTGATTACATGCTGTATGTACAAAATCCTCGTGTATGTGGGCTCAGTGAACTGGTTGCGGTAGATCTTGTCTGTTGTCGGAGGATTTTGTTCGGATACACATATTAATATTAATTTAAGCAATAATGTTGGCATGAGTGCAAATACTATTAATAATCGTAATACAAATTTCTTATTCTTGTTTAAATTACATTATAGTTTGCAAGCTTTAAACATAAGACTTCCCTCTAATTTCACTCAAGGAGATTATACGATATCTCTTCAAGTGCGAAGAAAAACGAAATTAGAAACATTCAAAGATTCGTATTGCATCGAAACAGCTACAGAAACACCTACTAATAATTTGTAAGCATTGCAAGCAGATAATGCAGTCTTGAAAATCTATAAAAGCCATAAACACTTTTCATAAACAGTTATCTAAATATTAATAAGTACTGACTTCAAATCATATGAGATAGCAAGAAAGTATTTCTAATTATAATATAATCTCCTTGATCACTATTACCCAATATACATAGATTAAGCAATTATTATGCGGTGCCACTATATCGGTATAAAAATTCTATTAAAGTGGAAGAAAAGACTAAATATTATAGAAAATTCCATACAATCTATGACATTCTGACTTCAGCATTCATTAGAGTTATTCCAGTATCGCTTTTGTCATGCATGGCACCGCTGCAAATACTCCTGTAGTTCTCACATGTTAGCACTGCAAAGCATCTACTTATGACCATACTCGACTATCTCTATACCTAACATTACCAGGCAACCAAACTTCTCCATCTCATAAATAAATAACTAATGTTAAGAACAGAGTTATATCAAAGTTGCAACTAGCTACCTTAGAAAGGAGCGACATTAAAACATATTACTAATTATATCACACACTTCAATTTATGTAAATTTCTAGTATGATATAAAAGATAGTATTTAAAATTAAACTGTTGCAAAATAATAATTCTAGTATTATCGGCTTATAGTGAATTTCGTTTGAGACATTTAAACTAAATGCTGGTAAATAAATAGTTAAAAAAAAACTTTGAAAATATAACACTCTAACTTATAGTTAAAGTTTTGATTCAACCAAAACTTAAAATAAGTCGCTATTAAAAAGCTATCCGTTAAAAACCAAAGCGCGAAGCTCCACCGACAGTTTCAACTCTATAGTATTGAGTAATATGCAATGAGCTCGTGTCTCCAGGTGATATACATTAATGTTGTTGGCCTTCAAGCAAACAAACATAATGAGGATCGAATCGAATGGAGACAATCCCAAGCATTCATATTTACAATAAGATTTTAATGAACATGTGATTCGCGTAAAAATGACTAATTTTTATCAAATTTTATTTTGATTGTCATGAATAATCATCAATATAAAATGTAATAACACTAAATTATCCATAAACAAATCAAGGTACAAGGTTTTCAAGAGCTGACCGTATAAGAAAAAGTATTAACTATTCGTACGAAATAAAAATTACATCTAAACGCTCTTACGAATAAACAATAACTATAAAATAAAACAGAATAATGAAATGTTAAATTATAACACAGCTTTCAACTCCTCACTTCATCGTCACAGTGGAGTACGAGACTTGCTATGTCACTGGCATTATACATACAGCAGAACTAGCCTTGTGTCGCATTACAAAATGTTAAATTAACAAACATCTAAAAAGCTGTTATATTTTAATGGAATGTAACAAACTAATAAAATTTCCATATGGAAGATGATAGAAGGTGACGGTGACATAGCACAGCCAAGTACACCACCGAGCACAATGAGCTAAAGGACAAAATTTGAATAAATTATCAAAACTATTTTTATCCTTTCTAAAATTATTTTAAAACATTAAAATCGAAACTCATAACGTTCTCATTGCAGCAATATTGTGAAAAATAATGATAAAGATATCATCGGTGAGTTTAAGTTACTAAAATGGCAATGCTCTTAGCGACACTCCCAAACTTTGACGGTCAGATCGACGCTGCCCGAGATCACGTATGGCAAGCTCCTGTGGAAATCTGAAAACATTTTACATATTTTACAAACAAAATTACAAATTAAATCCAAGTTATTATAATACATTGTATAGTGCTTTTTTACTTAACATAATGAAGTAATATTTCAACTTCTAGAACATTGGTAATGATTACTATAGTCGAAACTGGCGAACATATTTTTCCTGTCTTATCAAATAGAGGACAGATATATCAGACAGACAGAAATTTTTGCGGGAATGTATGTCAATTTCATTGTGACCATACCTTGGCTTGATATTAGCGAGTGACGCGACATTTACTGAAATCAGTTGGACATGGGGTGGAAGAAAGTGGAGCTGTGTGTCTCTGTATGTGCGTGCATATCTCACCGAGGCTGGTGGCGAAGTGCTGATGCGCATAGAGCGTCTTGAGGCAGCGCGTGTGTGCGACGTCCCACACGCGCAGCGTCTTGTCGTCGGAGGCGGTGAGCAGGTAGCGGCCGCCGGGGTGCCAGGCCGCACCGCGCACCCAGTTGTCGTGCCCCACCAGCGTCGCCAGGCACTGACCCGTGCTCACGTCCCAGATCTAACCCAAATACAGCATTACACAACATGTCTAGTATCCAACTGTCCTGATTATGCCTTTCTACTCGTACTTGTACGTTTCCGTTGGCATATATTTACAAAATTCCATGAAGATTACTATTTTTCATTTGAAAATACTAGGCTACAGGTTTTCTTTGACAATTCAAGTATACATACTTTGACGGTCTTGTCGCGGGAGCCACTAGCGAGGAAGGGTCCGGCGTGGTTGGCGCGGCGGTTGTCGCCGCCGGCGGCTTCGTTAATGGCCGCGGCGGCTGCCTCAGGCGCCCAGGCCACGCACTCTACCACGTGCTCGTGCTCTCTCAGCTCCATCTGATAACACACATTTCAATTGATAACAATTTATAATTTTTTCTTAATACCAACAGTTATAGTAATCCCATAATTTCGAGTATTTATGTACAATAATATCTAAACTAACGTCTAAATTCGTTAGTACATTTAAAACCAACAAAATAAACTAAATATTTTGGTAGTAATTGTAAGAGAAGGGGGCAAACGAGCTGTGGGAACACTGAGGTGATTAATGCTACCCATGGATAGATGTTCAGATGGTTACCCTCAAAACCAGAGGAACTGCAGATGTGTTGCCGACCTTAAAGTAAATGGTATACTCGCTTCTTGAAGGTCCCTAAGTAGCATTAGTGGTAGTATGTGGGCGTACATTTTTCGTAGTTTGTGGGTATGAGTACGTACTTTGCATTCGTTAGCGTTGTTATCGGTGCTCCAGATGCGCACAGTCTGGTCGTTGGAGCAGGAAGCGAGCAGTGCTCCGTCTGCCGACACACGCACCATACGCACCCACTCACGGTGACCCTTGAACGTCTTCACACAGTACCTGAACACAGATGATTAGTTATCAATGAACTAATTGAAGTTGAACTATGAAAAGCAGGTCATAATAACCTGCATATGATGCTATTACTATACACAAGAAAGCAACTGTTAATAGAAGTCTTTTTAGTAACTATTTTTAAGGATGATTTGTTCTCAAATGTAACAGCACCTCAACAACACAATATTATGCCTTTGCTTTTGGAAACTCTATATTCCAACATCTTGGCTATGTGAACTAACCCAGTGGCGACATCCCAGGCCTTGATAGTCTTATCCCTGCTGGCGGAGTAGACGAGGTCGCCGCTGGGGGAGAACGCGACAGAGGACACATTGTGCTCGTGGCCGTGCATTGTCTTTATGCACTCGAACGTCTGGTTAAAGTCCCACAACTTTATCGACATGTCGGCGCTGCATGATACTGAAAAACAATATATCAATTTTAAAAAAGGGTCTTGATAGACAGATAGACGGACAACGAAGTGATCCTATAAGGGTTCCGTTTTTTATCTATGAGTTACGGAACCCTAAAAATAAATTAATTGTGTCATGTACACATAATCTTTATTGTATTGTATGTACACATTTAATACTTAAGAGTTTTGTAAAGATTTTACAAATTAAGAATTTTAAGGAATAATGTGCATTTTAAAAATGATGATAAAAATTCAGATTTGAATTGGAACTTTAACTTTCTATTTCAAACATTGTTTCCTTTGTTCAATATATTTTTAGTACACTAAAATTGGAAAGAATCAAAACAATGCTGTAAAATAAGCAAAAACGAAGTGTTACTATGAATAACTAACCTAGTAGCTTGCCATGATGATCGAATGCGATGTCCTGTACGGAATCGGTGTGCCCCTTGAGGGTTCGTTCGTATGTGCCACTCTCAAACTCCCACACTCGGATAGTGGCGTCCTCGCTCGACGACACCATCAAACTGAACACTGGATGAAATACTACCTGCAATACATATAAAACGAGGTTTAATTAAGAAATCAGATTTTTAACACGTACAGTACCACCGACTCGCCCAACGAATTCATTTGAGTTTTAATCTAGTTAATGCTTAAGCTTAGTAATTATTAAGTTCCTTGTATGAAGTATATTTGAAACAAAAATATATTAAAGCATTCATCATGTATGAGTAAGAAATTGTTTGTTTTAACAATGGCCGAATTAGTGATATTTGCGCACGCGTGTTCACGCACGTACTTCTCTGTAAAAATGAAACGAAATTGTGTCTTCAAATTAGTTTTAAATTGATTAATTAGTTACTCTGCGTAAAGAACTAAAATGTAAATAACGGTATAAAGATATTTTTAGGTAAAATCCGAATAAATGCAGGTTGACCATGGACTAAAATTGAAATAATATCAATGCCAAAAGCAAAGATAATATTTGATAGCAATCGTTATATAACTGGCTACATAAAAACATTTTGTAAAATAATCTCAAACTCATATTTGCATTGATTTAACACGAATAGTAAACAAAGGGCACAAATATAGTTATCAATGCCATATGCTCCATCATCTTTAATCTAATACAACATTTTTTTTATGTTTAGACTTGTTACGTAGGTGTTATTTTATTGGTATGTTACTTTAGTAATAGTAGCCCGGTGTCCGGTTAGACAGAACTTCTCCGGCGGCCGGGGTATCCACTCGGCTGGCGTGCGCTTGCCGCGAGCGGGCGCGCCTTCCATAAATTCCTTTTGAGCTTCGGAGAGCTTCGATTCTAATTCCATCACCTGAAATTCATCACAAAAATCTTGAATAACAACTTATTACAATATAATCCGACAAATCAAAAAAGATCCCAAGCTCGATTAGTTTAAAAGTTCTACAACTCGTAATTTGACTTCTTTGCTCCGTCTATTCATATAGATTACGGACAAAAAATGTTCCCTTGGTTTTTTAATGAAGAATATATTAAATAAATTTAAGAATTATTAACCTTCCCATTATGTTAGCCCTTTCGTCGTATGTATTTTAATTTCTAGAAATAGCACGGGGCATCTGGTATGCAGAGTTTGTATTCGACCTAGAAAACTTTGACGACACGCCGATCGATCCATTCCATTGCCAAAGGCCAGAAGCTTTTACAGCGTGCAATCTAAGTTTTTCAATTTTCGAGCTAAAGATTTAACGACCATTCCAGCAGTCAGTTAAAAGACTGCATAGAATTAGATTATATTTTCTTATGAATTAAATATTGTTTTTTGCCAACTACGGCAAGAACGGTAATAACAATCTAAAATCTAATCTATCTATTATAACAGAATCTAATACATAATACACAAATACCGGTTTTTATTTTTCAACCTTTAGTCATAGTATTGATATCTGTATTAACGAAACAGGAAATAATGTTATTTAGTTACGACATAATTCAGATTTCAAATCCAGTTTAGTGTACGTACTTTATTAAAACACCAAATATTTAGTTTCTGACTGAGAGCTTTCTACCAGTAGCTTTTTACCATACAAAAATTCATAGTATAGGCTAACATTATTACATTTTTTATGACCACCTCATCACTATGCCCCTGCATATGTAGAGATAAACTTCAGAGGTAAGAAGTCTTTGTTTAATTATAACGCGATATGTTTCAAAAAAACTCTGTGAAAGTTAACTAATACTACCTATATTGAAGAATGTAACAAACCTTCTTTTGGAGCCTTATTACGGAAGTCCATTTCTTCTCCAGTAGGCCGCCGATCTTGCGGTCTATTTCGCCGGTCATTTCGGCCTCCTTTTTGAACGCCTCCAGCGCGTCCGTATACCCATTGCTGCCCAAGTAATCAGCGATAGCTTTGTTTCTGAAAGTAAATAAAGAAAATTATTTAAAAATAGTTCAAATATATATAAAGCATATTATGATATTATATACAGACGAGAAAACGAATGCTAAGTGGCATATCGTTGGTTTCTGAGACCAAGATCCAGTTTAAAACAAATTGTTATTTCTATTTTTTCAAAGATACGTTTTATACAGGGCTACATTTTGAGCTCAGAGACTAGTCATATAATTCTGTAGTACATTTGTGTTAATTTTAGACAAATCTAGTTTATTTCCTTGTTTCATGTATTTATAAACAAACTAGCTGTCGCCAGCGACTCCGACCACGCAGAATAATAATATAAAAACTTTATAAGTAACCTATGTGTCCTTTCAGACTATGTTCTACATCTATGTCAAATTTCAGTAAGATCCGTTGAGGCGTTCAGAAGATATCTTCAAGCAAACATCTAAACATTCGCATTTATAACATTAGTAAGATATGTTATTACGATTACTCCCACATCTATTACAGCATGTAGGAATAAGTATTTGTAATCATTACACAATATTATTTGCACGTGATAGTGTACAAACACTCGTTCATTTCTACATGCGTGGGCAGATCAAAGACATTGTAGTCATTAGACTTACTTGTATTGTCTTACCTGTAATACGCTGTTATGTTAGATAACATTTACATAAATAAATTATCGTCCAATATATAACGTTTTAGAACCTCTGTCCACTTTTCTCTTATACGTACTTTATGATATATGAATGGTTGTTATAATCTATACTAATATTATAAAACGGAAGAGTGTTTAAACGCGCTAATCTCAGGAAAAACTGGTCAGTTTTGAATAAATCTTTTTTTATTGGACAGTCCATTTATAGAGGAAGGCTTAAGGCTATATAACATTACGCTGCGACCAATACTTTTTTTAAATTCCGCGCGGAGGGAATCGCGGGCGACAGCTAGTTATCTATATGACAAGTATTTCCATGCAGTAACTAGGTTGTGTAGAATCGGTTATAAAAATTTTCGATTTTCGATGGTTATTCTCATGTAAATTGCAATAGAAAAATCCTACATTGAAATTTTGATAAACAAAAAGAAATGATTTGAATGTTATTTTTATTTCATTGTGCGAGAAATTGTCAAATATCTGTAATAAATTTAAAAAAGTAATAAAATACGTAAGTTATAGTTCTTATTTGTTCTATCCTAAATAGACACATTATAGTATACTTTATATTGTCATAATTCAAATGAGCATAACGTATGTGAATAAAAAGTACAAAAACAAACGACAGACAATGTAGAGCAGACGAGAAAAATAACAAAAGTAAGGAATTGTTTGTTCGTAGCAAGCTTTCTAAGAGAAATGTGTGTATAGGTTTGCTGGACTGACGATATATAAACTGCAATTTACTACTCAGACATTCAGAAACAATCTGTCTTGTTATAGAATTATTTATAAGGACTGCGATCGTAAATAATTTTCTAATCTTTGCAATACCATACAAGATAGTAGAAATAAATTGTCGTAAAAAAGCGATTATGCACTTGTAATTTAAAATTTGCGCTTTCCCTCAATCGATCATTGGTATTTATTAATGTTCTCTTTCAATGCAATCTATTTGTCACTACTATAAAGTCAATTACAGTAACTGAAAGTAAAAAAAAAACACATGAAACATTTGTCAATTAATGTACTGGAAGTGGAAATATTAAGACGGAGATAAAAAATTAATCTACGGAAATATTTCATTCAGTTCTCTATTGTGTAAATTTCATTTCTCGGTTGTTATATCAAGTTTCGATATCAACACGGTGAAACTGAATCGAATGTAAAGACAATCTGAGGCGCCTTTTGTTTGTGTGGGAGCAATCATGGCTTTTTTTAACAAATGAAAAGCATTAGCTGGTGGGTAGCAAATTACGAGACAATCAATCATCTGCCTTTCAAGTCGATTATAATTCAAAGAAAATAAATAGTATGAACTTATCAACAAAAGCGTCTGGATTAAAAGGAAAAATGTAACGCTTTAAAGTATACCCTACCTACTAAAATAGCCTAAATTGTTTAGGAAACTATCTGTTGCCCTCAGTCATACGAGCAGAATTTAAAAAAAAAATCAAGTTATAAATATAGCCCCATGTCACGCTGATATAGTATAGCTTGCCTTCAATAAAAGAATTTTCGCTTTAGCAGTTTGAAGCCTATTGCAAAATACATTCAAATCTTTATAATATTAGTATAGATAAGAGTTTCTTCCGAAGCTTTGGCAGCCTAGATAATAAAGTTAATCTCTTGAACCCTAATTGAACAAGGCAAGTTCATTGGCGATATGGATAGCGAAAGTTCCTGGCGTAAAGCGAGCCGCGACCGTTCGAGAAATTAACTTTCACGGTAGGTTTCCGCCGATACAAATCTGATTAAAGGGCACTTAATACTGTCACTGATAAACGAATAAAGATTGTCATAAGTTACACTGCATAGTTTTTTATTACCATTTATTACCAAAATAGCTGTCGCCCGCGACTCCGTCTTAATGAGTAGCCTTTGTTCTTCCAGACTATGTTCTACCATCTGTGGCAAATTTCATCAAGATCTGTTAAGCCGTTCCATCTAAACATTCGCATATATTAGTACGATTAATATTCAATAGTCTTAAAGTTAAAGACTTTTAAATACTTTTTGAGATCACATTAAAAGTACAAAACATTCTTTGGGAAATACTCTCTAACGGGACACAATAATGGCTGTCAATTTGGAAAAACATTGTGTTACAACTAACGGTTGAAGCAATTGGAAACAATAAAACGTTAACAACAACGAAACACCGAAGGACAAGTAAAACAAATTACAATTAGCATTATCAGTAAAGCATACGTAATTCATTGATTTACATATACATACGTGACCCGAAATTGTAACTGTGAAATAATTACAAACGCACCCAAAAAAGCGATGTTACGTATTGTTAAGTTGTAGACGGGAATGTGAACTACTGGACTAATCTTTTTATTATACACACGATGTTAGTGAACACTAAAACATCTATGATTAAACGAATTTACAAATTATGAGCTATTTAATTTTAATAATTTTGATTCGACATCCTACATAATATTTTACGAGATTCTAATTGTAATACCATTTAATGCTAAAAAAACATTCTAAGGCCACACAGCAGTAAAAGCGAAATTCTGTTTTTTGTTTGTTTATTATATGATTGTTAGACTATCCCATACAAATCAAGAAAAGATTGGCGAACCTTAGAGTAACGCAGACGTAATTTCAAAGGTAGCAGTTGCCAATAGCGACTATTTGTGCCAAAGAAGAGAAGTTTCTTGCAATTTTATGTGAGATAAAAAGAGAAACTTGCATTTGAATGTATCGCTTCAACTTGCACATTGCAACATCTGTTGTTAACCTTATTCGCTAACAGACAAACCGAAATTCCGACTCACTTTTACCGTTCATGAAGCAAAGGTCAAGATAATTTTTGGAAATAAAACGCGTTATTTAAAGTGTCCCATAAAAACCAAACATTCCAATGTAAAAGAAATCTCCGAATGATAGTAGACTCAGTGTAGATGTGAAACAATGTTACTAAGTTATTAGCGAAATTGGTTTCTAATTTGATATGTTTGTATAGATTTTATCAGTTTTTTTAGTAAAACTTCGGAATAAAAATCCTGCAAAAAATATAGAGTTTGTACAGTTAGGGTAGCTGCAAGCTTCCTTGTGTACAGCGTGGGTGGGGTGGTGCGAGGGTGTCTGATGCCGCCTACATGACCGCTATCGATCGGCGCCGACGGGTACAACTCTACGTCACTACTGCGTCATTTCTCATCCTTCGTCTGCGCCTTTTATTAGAAAAATTAAAATGTGTTAAATATATCTACAGGAGCTGACATTTAAATATAGATAGATGTGGAAGGATGACTCTAACAATAAACTTACTAATGTTATAAATACGAATGTTTGGACATATGGATGGATGAAAGTTTATTACAAGGTATCTCCAGAACGGCTGCATGGATCTCGCGGAAATTTGACAATAGATGTAGAGCATAGTCTGGAAAAACATATAGACTACTAATAAGGTTTTTTTTCGCGCAGACGGAGCCGCGGGCGACAGCTGTAACTAATAAATTCGTCCACTGCGAGTTTTTCAAAGTATATGCATGCAGCAACTACATACCTACGTCAACAAATTTATTACACAATCGATCAAGAATAATTTTACTATATCAATGCCATATCGTGAAACGTCTCTTATCGTTTTGCTGCAATTAATTTCAAAATATGAATGAAAGTAACACGGTTCGTAGTAAACTTGAATATTAATTTGCCTATGGATGGAAATTTCTTCCATGACTACGACGTAATAGCGCTCTAATGAAGGTAATAAATGAGATACGTTTAACGTAATGACGGAATAACCAATGTTTAGGGTTGGACGACAAGGGGAATGATATATCCAGAGGGTTATACTGCAAAGGGTAAGCCCATGACGTCATCGCGTTGTTAAATAAATATACAGTGGGTGGTAACTGGAAAGGAAAATTTTCCTTTGTATTATTTTCCGCTGCTTAGGAATTCTAACGAAATAATACTTCCAAAGTTGTTCTCGTATATGTGACACAAATGAGTCACGAAATTCTTTCCGTATTGCCCTGGCAAAGAGACTTTGAATTATTAATGGAGCATTTACAAACTTAGAATAAAATACGTTGCCAAATCTTATTAATATTACAAATGCGAATGTTTAGGTGGATGGATGGATGGATGTTTATTTGAAGGTATCTCAAGAACGGCTGAACGGATCTTAATGAAATTTGGTGTAGATGTAGAATATAGTCTGGAAGAACACATGGGCTTACTAATTGTTTTTTAATTCCGCGCGGACGGAGTCGGGGCAACAGCTAGTACCTTATATTTTAACGTGTTAGTAAGATAACGTGTTGTAAAATTTGTAAATGACTTAGATGAGATCATGGCTTAGTAACTTATATCCAAACGT